TTCATTTTTTAGTCGAAGTGCACGTATATTAAGAAGACAATAGCAACTGAAAACTGAGGCATCTTTTCGCCATCGGCAGCCTATCGCTACACTAGGTTCCGAGGAAATCAGAGAGTAAGAGAAATGGGAGAAGATGGTGATACTTTTTGGAATTTCTGGCCGAGTCCTTTTGGATGAGGGTGAGAAATAGCTTTGGCAGAGGAACGGATCAAGTATGATCAGAGAAGAGGACTTGAGGAACAAAAAGTCCTACTCTACTCGCAAGAGAACCCAATTCACAAGAAGATTCCTGTTCTTATCCACGATGGAAACCAGAACCAACCCATCTGTGAGTCCCTCTTATTGCTGTTTCAGTACGTTTGAATGAAGTCCTGGAGTGACTATATATCTTCCTCTCTTCCCTCCGAGTCCTTACCAGAGAGCTCAGGCCCAGATTTGGGTGATTTTTGTTACACCGAAGTACACATCTCTCGCCTTTTCATATGATCTTTTTTGTCTTCTTTTTTTGCCCAATATCAGATTCTGCATAGCAATAGACATGTTGTGCATTTTTGTTCCTGCCAATTCAACACCAATTCTACTTGTTCTTTTTATCTGCAATTTGATGTGCTTCCCCAGAAAACTCATTGGATATAGGTTTTTAATTATATTTAGACTATACCAAAAATGCTTTTGCTACAGAGTTAGAACTAAAAGCAGAGCTTCATAACTTGGTTTCTTGAAAATTAAATCAAGTTGTATATGATGTGACAGACTTAACTGATATTGGAGGAAAATAATTGGACCTACAAAAGGAGTAAGCAAGGAGGGCCAGAACCAAAGAAAGATTTCATTGAATGCTTCAAGTTGTTATGGAGGCAAGCGGGGTTTGAAGACAAGCCTTACTTCTGGGGGGAGAGGATTGGGTATGTGGATGTTTCCACTTGTACCATTTTATTCATATGGTTTTATGCATATGAAGCATGTTTTTTGGCACTTCCAGTACAGAGGTTGAGTTGCCCCAAACCATGCTTGGGTTAAGAGGTGGCCTTGAGAAAGAGTCTGTACCTAAGTCCCTTCCTGACCAAGGCAGAAGGTCTATGACTTTTAGTTCTGCATCTTGAGCCCAGGTGTAATGGATATGAAGTAGGAGGAGGAAGGATTAGTATGAAAATGCCTGGGTGTGCTTCGGCATTTTTTAAATTTAAATAATGAGCAAAGTTTGCCTGTGATGTTCGCGAGGCCACTTTAGTTGTGCTTCGCTTCGCTTCGGTTATTTATTGTATATATAAAGTGCACAATTTTATTCTTAGCTTTTATGTATTTTATTAATGGAAGTAATAATTATATGTTTGTTGTTTCTGCTGTGTATGAACATATTGTGTTGTTTTTCGTTTAACTCGCTCTATTGGTATCTACTAACTTCGATTTCATTACATTTTTTCTATTTCAAAATTTTTATTTGTTGTTCAGTGCCTAAGGAAGCTGGTGAAACCAGATTCAATTAACACTGTTCCAGTATTTTCTGAAATTTTGACATAAGCCGTCCATATTATCCTAAAATTACAAGACTCCAAACTACTGCTCATCATCATGTGTGCTTTGTAGTGAAAACCGCCTTCCTGCAACAAGACGATGTGAGTAAAACCCAGCACCAAACTGGGCATATAAAATTTAAACATCTCTTTTGCTCTGATAAAACAATAATGTTTCAAATTTACCAGCTTTGGAATATGAAAATCAATGTACCAATCAAAAATCTATTAAGGCATGTAAAAACCATTAAAAAGGATCTTTTTATTTTCTTTTTTTTTTTTTTTTTTGTTTAAATAACAATTTAGAAGACGAAAAGGAGGAAACTTTTATTGGTTAGATTACTTTTACTTAAAGCAGTTGTTGAATGAGCTTACGAACGGTAAGATACTCTTTTGTTACTATATAAAAGTATTGATAATAAGAACTGAGATCTGGTTAACATCTTCCCGCCAAAAAGTATTTGCTTTATACCCATACTTTATTCTAAACAAGCTCAAATTCTATCCTCGAAAAAATTGACTTAATCGCCATAAATTATCCTTCTCGTATATGATGTTTCGTGAACACTTCACCAATGTCTACAGTGAGGTTATTGAACACTTTCATTCTATAGGAAATTGTACTAATTAACAGACTACTTTAAGAACTTGCAAAATTATTTATATGGTTTAATATTCAAACTTTTAAATTAAATTAATTCAAATACTCATTAAGATAGTTCAAACCCAAATATAAAAATTATTATCCAAACATTATATTAACCACACTATAAATCGGATATCTTGCACGTAAATATCAAAAATACCAAAAATAAATGTTTTATTATTATTATAAAAGGCATACAACAACATTAGGAAAAATTCAATCATTTTCGAAAGCTAATAGATCGCTCGCGAAGTTCAGATACCATTAAGTTTTTTTTGCATAAAGTACATGGTATATCTTTTGTTAGCGTGAATTTTATGAAGAAGAGAGAGAGAGAGAGAGGAGCCAGGGTGGAGAATGGGATGTGGAGAGAGATAAATAAAAGGTTGACTTTTCTTATTTGTGTATAGTTTTTTTTTTTAATACTTTTTTGTGGGTCCTCATAATATAAGTTATTTTAGTCTTTTATTTTAAAACGTAAAAATTTAATGGAAAATTGGCCACTTTTTCGACGGAAAAAACTATAATCCAACGAAATAAACCTTATCGATTCATAATAGTTTATCAAATATATGGACGAAATTGTTAATTTGGCTTTAAAAATTCAGGTTCAAAAATAGTAAATTCACTCCCATTTAAATTTTCCAATTAATTTTTTTTTTTCTTGCTATCTAAATTCTTACTCTCCATTTGTTTTATACCATTAAACTCAAAATGTTGCATTTATTTATAAATAAAATTCTTACACACCACATTTTGGTAATAAATTAACCTCAAAATGTAGCATTTTATTTATAAATTTAAATTTTAGATATAATGTAATTTTTCATGGTTTTGGGAACAAATTCAGAAACCCGGCAAATTTATTCTAACCTCTTTATGTCCTAAAAATACCTTGGCAAAAAATTTAAGATCGGCTATGAGGATGAGAAGTTCTTTTTGTCCATAAAGTTTGTGTTCACTTTTTAAATTTGTAAGAATTCATTTGAAACTTCCATATATTTTTTTTATAGAATTCCTGTTTATTTATTTCAAATCCATAAAATTGAATTCTTCATTTTTTTTTATAACCAAACACACATTTAAATGATAAACTGATTCAACAAAATTTTTATGGAATTTATTTTAATTTCCAAATACAGGTTCTTAGTTTTAATATATGGAATTAGCTAGCCTGAGTTTTCTTTTTTTTATTTTGGCTGTTTGAATGAAAAAAGCAATAATGGTCAAGTTGCACTAACAATTTCTTAAAATTTTTTTATTTTAATATTTCCAATTTGAAATTTGGTTCATGCTGGAATAGTGATTGTGTAATTGTAGGTTCCGTTTTTTTCACATTTGGGCATAATGACTACGACAATACAGAGCATCTCCAATGCTAACTAATGGATTGTGATGAATTATGTCTTAATAAATAGAAGTTGTGGATCGGTAAGTATTATGCTGAATATATATTTGCAAGATGTTAAAGACTTTGTAAAAGGATAATTGCTTTAATGCACGAATGAAGAAATCAGTTTCCCATGCAAAAAGAAGTTTTGAAGGCTAAATAAGGAGAAGGCAAAAGGAAAATAAAAAATAAGAAAAAATGAAATAAATAGAAAAAAGAACAATTAACACTAAGTCAATTGGTCCAACAAGAACCCTCCTAGAAAATAAAGAGCGTGATAGACAATATCTCTTTTTTCTTTTGACACCACCTCACAGACTCACAGATTAAATAGACAATACGATGTGGATTAAGGTTTTTATTATTTAACCTATCAAACTTTTCAGAGTGCAGCATAAAATTAACACAATCAAATAGTTGTATTGGAGATTGTCTCTTTTTTAGATTTTTAAAAAAAAAAATGGCTCTCCAATAACACGAAAAGAATTTATCAGTTTTCAGTGTAAGGAAAAGTTTGAAAGTTCGTGAATAGAAGAAAATAAATAAATAAGAATAAATAAATAATAGGAAAAAAAAGTAACAAAAAGCAGAGTTCATGTTTTTTTAACAGACCCTCTGAAAATAGAAAAGCTTGTGATGGAAAATGTCTCTTATTTTTCTATTCTTGACCACATCAGAACCTACAGACTAAACAATCAATAAGCATTGAAGAAAGTTTTTTATTTTTAACTTTCCAATTTTTCAGGGCATGGTAAATAACATAAAGCAATCCGGATTCGTTGCGATAGGAAATTCTCTAAAGGAACTCCAAATTCACATCTTTCCATGTAGAACCCACGTGGGAACTGCGTATTGGATTCCTAAATTGCCTTTACCTACTTGTAATGAGTCCGAATTTTTATCTTTCGAAACTTTCAAATTTACATTTAAATCAAAAAATCAGAATTTTTTGACCGTCGTGGGCTGTAAAATGTAAATACAGTTTCAATTCGAGCCCAAATTTTTGTGATTGGGGTCAAGCCCAAAAAAACAGATTGTTCGAGATTTCGATTAGAGAAACCACTTAAAAGTTTCGAGAAAATCAAAATGGGGACTCTAGTTACTAATCGATTTTATAAATGTATGATTATAAATGTATGTATATGTATGTAACTGCAATATAAATTAATTGTCTTAAAATCAAATATCATTACTATTAATATTGTATTATAATTGAGTAAATGGAGAAAATATTGCGAAATCGAACTAAATAATCAAAATAAGTCGAACCGGACCCGAAAAACAAATTGATTTTTCGAAAACCAGATGAATAACCTGAAAATCGCGTAAAAATCGAGCCAAGTCGTTGAATCAGACCATTTCGGTTCGGATCGAACCGGAATCATCTAGAAACCGACATACTTTATTTCTTTTCTTTTCTTCTTCTTCTTCCTTTCCTCTCCAGCGTCGACCTCATCTTCTCCTCCTCTTCTTCTTTCTTCTTTCTCTTCTTTTCTTTCTTTCCTTCTCCTTTCTCTTCTGCGTTTCTGCTACTGGCGAGAGACAGCCACAACGAACCGCGACTCCACCAGGCCAGGACGGATCTTCACCAGGACGGATCTTCATCGCGGCGCCGTCACCACTGCCGCTCGATCTCTCTCCCTTGCGTTCATCCTCAGGAAACTCAGTGGCTCCGCCTGTGATCCTCTGGCAGATTGCGTCGCGCCATCCCTCTCCAGTTTGCGATCAAAGGAAACCAGCACCACCGAGCTCAGCCTTGTCGCACAGCCGCCAGTTCCACCACTTGCGTCACTGCTGTAGCTCAGCTCCTCCTGCGTCGATCTCAGGTGATCCAGCCGCTCCAGCATAACTCCAGCCACCTGCTTGCAGTCTCAGTGCGCGATCCGGCACTCATAAATCCCGATCTAGCAAAATCCGACAAGAAAAATTATATTTGGGGGGTATAAATCAATTTGGTATAAATCAATTTTTGCTAATTCTCAGAATTTATTTTAGTAATTTTGGGTTAACTAATTTAAATTAAAATTAGGTATTGAATTATTGATTAATGAGAATTAATTTCAGTATTAAATAAATTATTAAGAGATTATGATTTATAGAATTAAAGAAAAAATTTTAAATTAATGTTGACATGGAGAATATGGAGGATGGGAATAATTGCCCGAATTGATCGGTGATGGATGGGCTGTGTGAGAACCTGAAAATATAATCGAATGAGTTAATTGGTGGATAGTTAAATTTTCAGGGAAGTGCTGTTGAAATTTTGGTAAAAAAAATAAAATTAATTATAGAGATTAAATTACTAAATTACTTATAGAGATTAAATTATTCATAGAAATTAAAAATATAGAATAAGATTATTAGAGTGATAAATAAATAAGGAAACCCAATATATATCTATATATATCGTTTAAATTAATAAGTGAATTAAATGACTGGTAACCAAAAATAGTAAATGAATATGAAATAGAATCTTCAAATTTAAAATTCTTACTTAAAATTTTTATTGTTTATTTTAGAGGTTTATAAAATTCCGAAATGCGAGGACAAAGGCTGGAAGCATGTGGCTAGAAGCATGTGGCTAGAAAGGCAGTCTCCTTAGAGGATAATAAAGAACTGTGAGTAGTGTTAGATAATTCGCATCATCCGCCTGCATTCATGCATTCACGGCTAAATGTTATCATGCATTATGGCCATTATCATGCATTATGGCCAATATTGTTATGCACTATTTGTTGATTTAAATATTGCGTGATTACCCTGTGATGTGATATTGCTGTGCCCTTGTTTGTGTAAATTGGGGATGAAGGTGAGTCACCATGGGTTTGTGAGACTGTTTCTGTTATACAACGGGATCCTGATTTCGATTGTCTGTTTATATTCTTTTACCTGGCTATAGATGGATCATGGATTCTGAATTTCTGTTAGCGGGGTAAATGGAGAGTGGCGCCCCCGTGTGCACCTGATAATTCTGTCTATTCTGAACCACAGGGTTGCTTCTTTATTTGGGCGGCACCTGATAGTTTAGTCTGATCGTAGCTACCAGGGTGGGCCTCTGTTTGAGGCCTATAAAAAAATCTAGATTGGAATGGAGAGCGACCGGATTGCCTCCTGTTGGTATAGTATATATTATTAATAATATATATATATTATATATATAAGAGAGAGATTGGCAAAATAATGAGAGGACGACCGTCATTGTGAGGATTAATAGTAAAAACCGGCCAGCAGAATGGGATTGGCTCCCCATGGTGCCATGTGAGTGATGGGCCAAATGTGGGAGGACGATCAATATCGGGTTTTGGTGATCGCTGCTAAGTTTCCACGTGATGTTGATTATTTGAAGGTGATAATAATTGGTGAACTGTTTACGTAAGTTAGTGGGGGCCGATGTTTGTGTGACTAACTGCCATGATCATAAATTTTAAAATCCGGAGTGACTAGAATAATTTTTTTTAAGCATCTGTGGATTGTGTGGGGATAAGGTCTATCAAACCCCGCGCACTCATCCAATCATCTGATGTTTAATGCTAGTACTGTACCACTCCTCACCATGGACGACTAGTGATGAAGTCATGAGGGAACGGACGACTGGAATGAGAGACCGCGGTCCCCCGTCTCAACCTCCCCAAAGGTAATAGATGGAAAGAAGAATCCTGGAGTCCAATCGAAACCGAACGATGAAGAATACGGATCAAATAGGAGTAATAATCATTGTAGAGTATCGAATATGTAATACGATAGGTAGTGAATTATGGAGTAGAGTGCAATTGGTAATTACCAGGGTTGTAATGACTAAATAGAGTATAGAATTTATTATTTGGATATTTGTGAAATAAATTATTGGGCATGAATCCACAATTGTGAATAGAATGCGAGTCTTAAGTAATACAGGCTTACTACGAGCTTCGGGGGCCTTAAGCCCACCCAGGTCCTAGTGTCGGTCCGGTCCATGGAAATGGGTCGTGACACTACTATTGCCCATTCCATACAACATTCTCCCTCACTTTCTCACACTCTCTCTAAACCCTCGTCTCTTTTCCTATTTTTCTGTTCTTTTTGTTTCTTTACCATAATATCCCAAAGCTAGTAAAACGGCATGAAAGTATCAAAAGGATCCTATCAATGCCTCCAACCAGCTTATACGGTCTCTTTGTTATTAGGGGTAATTGCAATTTTGGTGTTTGTACTTTGTTATTAGAGATAATTACAATTTTGGTGTATGCACTTTGAAATTTTTTTCTTTTTTTGGTGTATGAACAAAAAAGTTAACAATTTGGTGAATTAAGTATTAATTTTTTAACAACTGAGTGAATTTTGCACCTTGTCTAGCCGAAAATCCTTGTAGGACGAAATGGATCCACTTATTCATTTGGTTCTTGACTAGTAGGTGCCAAATAGGCATCCACTTGGATTGCACTAACTAATAAATTAATAACACAAAATGACAAATCTATCCCCGCATCTTTCTCTAGGCCCTATTCACCCAAACACCCAAACAGTGCATCCAAAGATTTTCTTTCTTCAGTTTCAAATAAGGAAGAAGCAGTATATTTAACAAGAGTAGGTGAAGAGTCTCTCATAAAATCATCTTGTTGCTGGTGGTGGTTTGCGGCGGCAGAGTCACCAAGTAAAAAATTGAACGGCAACGATTTAACAATGGAATCAGCACCGGAACACATTCATGCCGGCGAGCAACTGGGTTAGCGGAGTGAATATCATCATCACAAGTGATACAAAAAGCGGCAGCGTCGACTTTGCAAGTGACAGCAGCAGGTGCTTGCTCACAAACCTCACACATTCAAACGCGCTCGTGTCTAGGAACGAGCTTATTGGCGCCATGGATCTTGGAATCGCAGTTAGCACGGCAAAACGCAGCAGCAGTAGGTGCCGTTTTGCAGGGTGCCGTTTTGCAGGAGTCACAACGTCTAGCTGAAACGCTAGACCACCGCCGGCTAAGCTCTTTAACATTTCGAGTTCGATTCCTATGGTGCTGGAAAAACAAAGAAAAATCGCTTGAGTATTTTTGGGAGGACCGCTGCTGGCGGCAGCGAGTGTTGATGCGGAAGGTTTCACTCTTGCGTTTAAAGAAATTGGATTTTTGAAGGTTGTTCGGAATTAGCATCTGATAACAGCTTTGTTTTCTTCGGCTTCTGGGTTTTCGCCGTTGAAGATAACAGAGACAAATCAGAGAGAGAAAGGAGAAGGTGTGGGTTTTAAGCGGAAGGTATTATAAAGCCAATATTTTTTATAAAGATTTTTTTTTTTGAGAGATTTAATGAGTTCTCCATTTTGAGAGATTTCCGTGAAAATTGATTTTTTTTTCATTTGAGATTGTGTTTGAGAGTTCAATCCTCGGGTGAAATGGGAGGCTAAAGGGGCACGGGTCGATTTGTCATTTCCTGTTATTAGAAAGTGTAATCCACGTGGATGTGGATTCCTTTTTGGACTAGTAATCAAAAACCTAACGAATAAGGGGGTACAAATCGTCCTACGGAATTTTTCGGTTAAACACATATGCAAAATTCACTGAATTATTAAAAAATTAATAATTAATTCACCAAATTGTTAACTTTTTCAGCTCTTATCTCAAAATAGAAAAAATTATAAAATTCATATACTAAAATCGCAATTATCCTTGTTGTTTGCCAGGTGAAGGAGGAATGAGACTTTATTGTCTTTCATTCCACGGAGGAATTAGACTTTATTGTCTTAAATCAGGATTCTCATATGTTGCCTAGCAAATTTCTCAAAGTCATTTATAATAGAAGAAACATCGGTTAAGCACAAAAGATGAAGAGACCATCTGATTCTGTTTTAGTGTTTGGTTAGCATTCAATGTAAATGTGGCCTTTGCATGACTTAAAATCAAACTAGGAACAGACCTTTCTTCTTTTACTCTTTGTTCAAATCTTTCCATGAGTTACATAAATGTAGCTCCCGCTATGTTCTGAGACCAAGTAACTTCTTTTCCCATATTACTTCTAGTCAGTTAGTACATGAGATTTTAAATCATTGGGTGTCCAAGAGATTTTTCGTATTAGAGAAAACGTTTAGCTAAGTGAAGTGTATCAAGCGAATGATGAGGCACTATTAATTTTTAAATCAGAGAGATTGTTGGAACTGAATTTATGGTAAAGGCTTCACCATCCTTACTAATTTAAATCACTGAAAGTTGAAAAGAATGTTGAGAAATTGTAAAAGATTTGTATGAACGAAATGGACAAGGAAATTAGAAGAGTTTTATACAAAAAAAAAAAAAAAAAAAAAAAAAAAAAAAAAAAAACAAGGAAATTAGAAGAGTTGTTATACAAAAAAAAAAAAAAAAAACAAAAAAAAAAAGAAGAAAAAAGAGAGTTAGTGCAGAACGTGAAATGTTAAGTGCTAGGGAAATTAAATATCAAGGGTTGTGGAATGTTAAATAATGATTTTAAAAAAAAAAAAAAAAAAAAAAAAAAAAAGAAAAAAAAGAAGAGTTTGCAGAACTGAAATGTAGTGCTAGGAAATTAAATATCAAGGGTTTGGAAATGTTAAATAATGATTGAAATTTGAGGTATTGTAGTTTGATTATTGGAATTGTTGGGGTTTTGCTTGAATACGAGCTTTCGTTGTTACAGGCTTCTCAGACAATTACCAAAATGTTACTAAAACTGCTTTATTAGGGCCCTACTTGAATGTCAGCTTCACTTTTATAGGCTCCTTGTGCAATTATATTGACTATCAATAATGAGATCTAAATAATTTGATAAATAATGAGCTTAACACAAACATTGTCTTCCGTTAAATTTGACAATTTTAAATTTTTTTTGTTTCATTTAGATGGGAGGTTTTGAAAATAAAGTAATATTATTCTAATTTTATTATTGTCTAGATATTTACACTATACTTTGTCTCAATTAGATGGGCATTAATTAAAGGATAATTTAGTCAATTATCCTTTTTTTTTAGGTGGTTTAATTATTTTTTTATTCTTGTGAAAAGTAAAAAAAACTGTCAAATTTAATGGAACGGACAAAGTGACAAATAGTAGCTACGTTTCTTAATACTTATTATGTTTCAAAATACTTTCAAGAAATAATAAATTTATTTTTTCATGTTTACCCTTTGTATATGACCAATAATTATTATTTCAATTCCTAAAAAATTTGATATTTAGATATATTAAATTAAAAGTAATATAGTCGATTTATTCAATATTTTATTATAATTTAGATAAATTTTAATAATTTTCTTAAAAAAACATGATATTCTAAATGTATGGATGAATTTTTGATTTTGCGGAATAACATTAATTGTGGATCTTTTCTTTTTTCTTTTTCTATCAAAGAAATGGCATATTAATTGTTGAATACAAGATGATGAATAAGATCCATAGGTATGTGTGACTTGCCTTTATCCACAATGAATGCACATTATCTACCCACCTAAACTCAATAAATAACAACTACTACAAGTACAACTCAATTATGCAAAGCCCTCTCCTCAACTCTACACAACTCTACTTTTGTATTCTTCTACTTAGGACGTGAGATGGAGAAATTAGGAGGCAAAGGAGGAGTTGCTAATGAAGAAACGACGAGCACCATGCGAACTGCAGAGACCATTCTGCGTCTTATACCAATGGCTTTATGCCTCTCTGCTCTCGTTCTTATGCTTAAGGACTCTCAGTCAAATGATTTCGGCTCTCTCTCTTACTCTGATCTTGGGGCTTTCAGGTTTTCTTTTTCTTTTTCAGTCTCTACTTTTGATTTAATTTGTCTAAACTACTAATGATATATGCATATGATGATTTTAATCATTAATTAATCTTAAATATAAATATTTATAGTGGAAATTTATATTTTCTTATTATTTACATCAAGCAATTGAACTTAAAGAGTTTAAACTGATAATTCTATTAGTATTTTTATTTGGGAGTAGAAATAATAAAAGAAAGGAAAAGTAAACTGTCTTTGGAAATTAAAGATTGTAAAGGGACTGGATCTTATTTTCCTTTCTCTTCCTAATTGAAGGTATAAGAAAATATCATTTGCTCAACAGCTTTTTGAACCGAAGAAAATTCTTATTCCTAATAATTACATATACTTGTAAATTGAACAAAATTAATACAAATATAATAAATTGAATTTTTAAATAAATTATTTACGGGACCAAACTAAATAGAATAAAAATTGCATTATTTTTTATTTTAAAAATTGAATTACACTGAAAAGTCTCGATTTTCCTATTATCATCAAACTGAACCAATGAATTCCATATAATTGAGTCTGTTTTACAATTATTGTCAAGCTCTATAAATTGTAATTAATAAATACAGGTACTTGGTGCATGCGAATGGCATATGTGCTGGATATTCCCTTCTCTCAGCCATCATTGTAGCCATGCCTCGACCATCCACCATGCCCCAGGCCTGGACATTCTTCTTCCTCGACCAGGTTATTTTTAGATAGATGTTGTAAAAATAAAACAATTAAGAAAGAAAATTAATCAATTAAGCAAATCAAATTTAGGTGTTGACATATGCGATTCTGGCGGCCGGAGCTGTGTCAGTGGAGGTGTTGTACTTGGCAAGAAAGGGAGACATGGCCATCACCTGGAGTGCAGCTTGTATGTCTTTCGGCGGATTCTGTTACAAGGCCACAACATCTGCAGTGATAACATTTGGTGCAGTAGCTTTCTACGCGGTGCTTTCTCTTGTGTCCTCCTACAAACTTTTCAGCAAATACAGCGCACCAGCGCTCACCTACCCAGGCAACAAGGCTATGGAGATTGCAGCTTTCCAGGGCTAATTAAGAATTTCACCTCCATCACAATAACAACCCAAGTGTCAAATTCATCTACTTTATTATATGTGAAACTGCGTACCCTTTTACTTTCATGTGCTAATATATCAATTACATCTTTACAAAAACCTTTAACTTCAAAATAAGAGCATATTTCTATAAGCAGAAAAATATTTTTCACAATTTTTCACTATTTCAAACATTAAAAGAAAATAAGTTAAGGAAAATAAATTGTAGGTTAGTGGAAAATAAGTTAGCGATTAAGGAAAATGATTTACACTTGTTTATTTGGGAAAACATTTTCCTAATTTATTTCATAATTTAAAATTAGTCTTTTTGGTTCATCAAGAAACATTCCACTGACAGGTGCAATTGTGGGTACATAGTCTTTTTGAAAGTGTCTAAAATACACCAAGTGACTTTTTTTTAGAACAAATTATTTAAAATAATTTATTGATAGGTTCATACTATTTAAAATATATTTTACATGATACTTTTTACAACATGTTTATTTTAATATAATCATTAAATTATTTTAACAATATATTTTTTAAAATATGTTAAAGCTCATTACATTTAAAATATATATTTGAGCAATATATTTTAACATAATTATAATACTTATATATTGTTAAATTATCTTAACATGATATATACTTAGAGATGGAAGCAGATATTTTAGAGTGTCTGCCCCGCTTCCATTCCTACTTCCATTCCTATATACACTGTAATGTTAAATAATTTAATTAAAAAGAAGCAGGATTTTTAGGAGTGTCGTGCCCGCTTCCATTCCTACTTCCATTCCTATATACCGGTAAGTGTTATTGTTAAATTATCTTAACATGATATATACTTAGAGATGGAAGCAGATATTTTAGAGTGTCTGCCCCGCTTCCATTCCTACTTCCATTCCTATATACACTGTAATGTTAAATAATTTAATTAAAAAAATTAAATCACATTATTAGATTAAATTAATCTTCATTATAGTATTATACGATGAGAATATATTTTAAATCGAAAATCTAATTATTAAATTTACTTTAATATATAATCATCATTATAATATACTAGGTGTAAACGAATTATTATATGAAGAAAAATTAAATTTTTTAATATTATATCAAATGTTAAAAAATATTTTTCGAGAATATTTTATGTAAAGTCAAACGTTAGAAAATAATGTATTTTCCTGTAAAATATTTTTCATATAAAATATTTTTTTGCAAGTTATTTTCGAGTAAATTATTTTTCGGAAACAAATGGAGCCTAAATTTTATTTTCTAGTTAATGGTACATAATTTTTATAATTTCTTGAAAGAAATATCTTTATCTTGTTATGTACATTTTAGTACGTACCTGGTTTCAAATCATTTAATGAAGGTTTAAGTAGTTATAAATATATTTGAGACGGATATTGGTAGTTACAATCTTAGTAAACTTCTAATTTTAATCTTTGTTTCAAGGGATATCTTAATTTTACTTGGTCTTTATAAATTATAATAGAAATTAGTCCTACTTTCTTTTTTTACTATGGTACTCTCTTTCCGGATAGTTTGTCTATAAAAACTATTAAAGAAAAATAAACATTTAGTTATAATTCAATTCAATTGTTTATTATTGATTATTTAATTAAAACTTAACTAACTTGCAGAAATTTTAGAATTATAAATTCATTGAATAAATACATGATATTTAATTTATTTAAATAGATTAATTTAGCATTATAACTCAAGATCCAATTTAATATTTTAAAAATAATATGAAATCAAATTGATCTAAATTTATTCAAAGTTGCTTTTTTTTTTTACTGCAAATAATAGTCTGATATATTTTAATAATTTCATTTGCTTCAGTAAATGTTTTAAAGATAGCATTTTTAAAAAATTAAAGAAATGGTTCTTTTATAATAATTTAAATAAATTTATCAAACAAATCCTGACATATATTTCAAATTAAGGTAAATTATATTTTCATATAATTTTATGATAGATTAACTTTTTTTCTTAATGGTACGTCAACTTCAAATTGTAAATATGTTTTCAATATTAAACCATTCATTTTGAAGTACAAATTATAAATACACGAAATGTAATAAAAATAAAAGATATGAACTAACTCTACCTCTGCTTATTGAAATAATTTAATGAAATTCAAACTTTAAAATTTTAAACACTAGTAGTTATTTTCATTGTAATTTCTAGTATGAAAGTAGAAAGTTTTTTGTTTCTTTCTTATTGAAAATTATTATTTATATTAAATATCTTGATTGTTTTGTAGTTATTTATTCTATTTTGATTAAAAATTTTTTGACTATATATAAAAAATATTTGCTCGTATGAAATGATATTTTTGTCCACCTAAGAAAAAATCATGGCTCCATCACTGGATATGGATATCTAGATAATTGCTGCTCGTTATTTACTCTATGTATTAAATGAATTTAATAATGAAAGTATGTAAGTATCTTATCCGTTACTATTAAAAAATATAATTTAAAATGGAGGCTTTTTTCTACTATATAGAAATATTTATTTTTGTATGAATAAGCGTGGCAAGTAAACCTGCTATAGTTAGGGGTGGCCAAATTTCGATTTTTGGAACTAGAACCGTGCGGAACTAGAACCGAGAGGTTGCGGTTCAGTTTCGCTTCTAAGTTTTTTAGAACCATGAACTGGCCGGAGCCAAAGGTTTTGCAACCGATTAGAATAGGTGGTTCTATTATTTTTTTTTTATTTTTTCAAAAAAATAAAATCTTTAAATTAACTTTCCTAACAACTATGAAATGACTATATAATGTCTAATTATGGTAAGGGTATTTGTGTAAGTTAGATTTTTTTGTTTTAAAATTATGTCAATCACTGGAAAATCGGTCGAGAACCGCCAGAACCATTTGGAACTGAAATTGTAATGTCCTATTTTCTTTTCAGTGTTTGAAATAGTAGTTTACTAATATGTGAATAGTAACACCTGTTCGGAAGTCTGTATTATTTCGGTCTGAAAAATTTCTATTTATAATTTATATTTTTTTAATATTTTTGGAACATGCATTCATAATTTTAGTGGGTAGAAATTAAGCTATGAATTTATTTAGACGTATTTAGTAATTAATGAATAGTGAATTATGGTATTTTTATTAATTAGAAAAATTGGAGAATTATTTTCATAGAGTAATTTAATAATTATTATGGAGAAAAAAATAATTATATGAGAGGAATATATTGAGGAATAATCATAGCCTTTAGATGAGATTACTGAAACAACCCGAAATTTTATTTTTAGAAATTTTTCATATAAAATTTTAAATATAAATTCCTAAACCAAGAAGAAAACCAATTGAAAAAAAAAAATAAATTGATAAGCCAATTGAAAACAAGACAAAATCCATGGTTTGGGCCAAACCGAACCCTAATCAAACCCAACCGACCTATAGCCAATTAGAAAGCTCTAGAACCCACAATACCCATTTTGTCCTATTTTTCTCTTTTCTTCCCGATTCTAGCGATAGCCCAATTTTCCCTTTCCCGTTTTTGCGATTTCTGGCCATCTGAGCTTGACTTTGGATGATCGGATTTCTTTTGCGTCGCCATCGCTTCTCTGGCCACCACTCTTTCCATTTTCGGCCTGCCATAGGGTTGTAAACGAGAGAGAGAAAGGTGCTGCGATTTCTTCCTTTTCGATTGACACAACTCACCTTCTACGCTTCTCTCTCATTTCCGGCGACACCAAACCTTAACTGGCCAATCCACCTCGTCCCTACCACCTTGTGAGCACCGTTCCTCCATCTTTGGTCAACTGAATTTAATGATTAGCGAGAAAAGAAAAAAAAAAGGGCAGTGAACTGCGGTATTGAGTTCGTCATTGCCAGCTACAAGTTAACCTCCATCAATGCATTTTATGGCTTAGTGAGCTCTATTTGATCCCTTTTCCTTCAATTATTTCACTTATTCAATAGTTCATTTGAGGAAAGGGTTGGTAGAATCATGAATGAGAAATGCTAGGTTCCTGAAACACTATTCACACGACTAAAAGTTGGGAAAAATATGATTTTTGACTATTAATTGATACTATAACTGCATTTTACAAAGAAATGTGTAAGTTAGGGTGTTTATTGCAGATTCTATGAAAGAAATTAGAATGATTGTGATATGGCAGCAACCAACCTAGCTATTTGCTCAAAATTTATGCTTTGATATGAGGCACTTGACATGATAAATTAAGTTTTTGTTGCTAAATGAGCCAACTAGTATTTATAGTATGGATTTTGATTGAGAAACCTTGATTTTCTTAGGTTGGCAGCAACTATTTTAGTTGATTTCTTGAACCAAAGCTGTGATATTGTAGGGGGAAACCTTGATTTTCTTAGGTTGGCAGCAACTATTTTAGTTGATTTCTTGAACCAAAGCTGTGATATTGTAGGGGAGTGACAAGTGGTCAAAGTGGGAGTGACGAGTGGTCAAAGTCACTTGGATGTTAGAGTCCTTGTCCCGACCCTTCATGGGTGCCCCTACGCCTATGGAAGGGGCCATTGGTTGCCTTATTGTAATCTTGGTTGCCTCGATGTAATATTTGATATATAAGTAAGAATTACCATTTTGCCCCTATGTGTGATGTTGTGCTATGTTTTCCTCGATGATGCTTGCATTGTTCTTAGATTCGAACCCATATGATTATCTATTGGTATTATGTTATTCTGATGCCCATTATTGGCTTGTAGATTACTAATTGATATCCTTGGCTGGATTATTTGAAGGTGTGCCAAGCAAGGGCCATACGGTCCGGTCTTGGTACGTGATATGGGACCGTGACATTTGGTATCAGAGCATTGGATTACGGATAGATTGAATGATGAAAATGACGAAATCCTCCCGTGTTGAAGCTTTAGAGAAGCGGGTGGAAGAGCTTGTTGCTTTTATAGAAAAGAATGTGATTGTTGGTGAGCCAACAATTGTTCCTGAATGGCAAGAGGCCAAAGAGCGCATTGAGGCGCTAGAGGAGAAAGCAGTGGAGATGCAGACCATACTCTCTGAATTGAATCGCTCAATTGATGCCCTGCGTCTCACCTCGGCCACTGTGGGTGGTGAGGTAAGAGACGAGGAGCGAGGTCTTGTCCCGGCCACTCAGGGTGGTGAGGCAAGAGACA